AATCACAACACCAGACAAGACAAGACAAGACAAGACAAGACAACAACACAATACCTCACAAACACAACACACCACATAACAACACCAGGCAACACTACACTAACACAATATCTCACAATACAACACACCACAACACAACACAACACTAGACAACACTACACAAACACACAAACAAGACAAGACAACAACACAATACCTCACAACACAACACAACACACCACATCACAACACCAGGCAACACTACACTAACACAATATCTCACAACACAGCACCAGACAGCATTACACTAACACACAAACAAGACAAGACAACAACACAATACCTCACAACACAACACACCACATAACAACACCAGGCAACACTACACTAACACAATATCTCACAATACAACACACCACAACACAACACTAGACAACACTACACAAACACACAAACAAGACAAGACAACAACACAATACCTCACAAACACAACACACCACATCACAACACCAGACAAGACAAGACAAGACAAGACAAGACAACAACAACACAATACCTCACAACAAAACACCAGACAAAACAATACCTCACAACACAGCACCATTACACTAACACACAAACAAGACACAACACCATTCGGCACAACACAAACATATACATATACATCACACTACAACAAATTTTTTGGTACAGTCTAGCAAAGAAATTTGTGCACATCGAATCTAAACAGAAACAAGACCAATTTTTTATTAGATAGTATAGATAAAAATTGATACTGTGCATGGAAGGCTATTGTGACCCCAAAATAGAGGTATCTTTGCTCAACTATAGATATTTCTATTTCAGATGGCATCTAGGATTCTGTAATGTAAGCTGTACTCCGACCTATCGTGGTTTTGATTCCTATCTTGGATATTATAACGCTGCCGAAGACTATTATAAACATGTATCAGGAGGTTGGTGGCATAGTTTCACTCCTACATCGTCTATTGAACAGCATAAACATTGATTCACAAATCTTCCATTGAAGGTCATCTCCACAATGTCAAAGTATTACCAGCTTCATGTACTACCATGACATCGTGAAGATTTCTGATTTCTGTTGGATATTTCTTTCATTTTCGAAACTCGTTTAAAGCTAAATAGTAATAATATAGACGGATATGCCAAGAGTTTTGGCCAAGAACCGGATGGTGTACAGGATCTGCGGGAACCTAATTACTTTGTTTATTAGACTATTTCAAGTTTGTTTTTTTTTTTGTTTAAAGGTTTCTATGATTTACACGATGGACTGAAACCAGCCATTCAATATAATGGTACATATTCAACAGTAAGTTTTCACTTCAAATAAATTCTTGTTTCACCGAACCGACTAATGAATACTGGTCACAATTTAAACATGAACACGAAAACTAAGTGTTTGTTGACGTCGCTATCGCAAAGGGCCTTATATGATATAAGCAGGTTTTGAGATGGCAACGTCATCAAACGTTTTGGGGAAATGTAGGAACCACAGACATCTGACTAACAATTGGAATGGTGCAAACCCCTTTCAGTTTAAGTTCTATTCTATTCTATTCTATTCTATTCTATTCTATTCTATTCTATTCTATTCTATTCTATTCTATTTCAGTATGTATTCACCAATAGAATTATAGATATCGTCAACCAGCATGATACCAATACGCCGTTGTTTATGTATCTACCGTTTCAAAATGTACATGCCCCTATAGAGGTATAGTTATTCTGTTTCCGTGAAACGTTTAGTCTCGAACATCCGTATACCTTTTTTTAAACGAGACACATCGCATTCGATATGATTAGATTTTGAACTGGTTTCGCCACAGCTTCATTTTCCAATACTAATTAGCATCTTGTCAGTTGTCGTTCCTGAAAGATATTACTATAGTCATCCTAACTGCATGAATCCGCCGTAACTACATCAAGGCAAATGCCTCCTACTGAAGTTAACGAAATAATAAGGAATATAAATATATATGTGATATTTGATGTCTACGGTAAAGGTGCTTAACTTAAAGTCAACCAAAACGGTTGCGATGAATATATTACTGATTTCAGAGACAAAAGGATTTATGCATCAAAGAAAAAACAGACCCTAGTTACGGCCTGAAGATCTACAATATGAAAGATCTCTAGGTCTGAGATTTTAGTTCCATTGACTTCCAGAAATTTCGTGTATTACTATATCTAACATGCAAGAATCAAATCAACAGAAAACCCAACCGTCAATCCAGTTTCAATCTTGATAGCTGACAAAACGAGGGATAACCAAGATATATTACATATTCATTGTAAAAAATGAGATTTTGTGGAGGGGAGGTTCTGACTACAGGTGTCAGTCTGTTTAACTATTTTTGATCTGATAGTTTTTAAATATCTCCTAGGTTCCTAAATATTATGAAGATATGTATCCACATGTTGGTAATCTTGGTCGAAGAAGATTCTCAGGTAAAATATTATTGAAGTCTGTTATAGAATGATCATTAAACTATCAGGTGTTTCAGGGTTCAGTTGGTCTGGTTTCTGAATTGACGGCAGAGTTCAGGGGTCGGCCATTGGGTCATAACCCCCTTCAGACCTGTGAAAGGTCTTATTTTAAAGTGAAAGTTTAGCCCTCTAAATGCTTAACCCCATCTGAAATCCGTTGACTTCTGGCAGCTCCCAGATAAAGGAGCTTTGGCCTTTTAGACCTCGCTTCAGAGACACCTCTTATATTTGACACACCCCTCCAGCATTTTCTAGATCCGCCCCTATTTGATGTTATGTTCTTGTGATATTCTTTGAATTATCTAAAGAAACGCCCCGTATTTGTTATATATATTTAAAAGGAATGGTAACGATATTAGACGAAGCTCTAGGCAATATAACTGACAGATTGAAAGAAAGAGGAATGTTTGAAGATACCTTAATTTTATTTACTGCTGATGTAAGTTTATATTCTAGGGAGGTGAAAGCTTGAAATCAAAATGGGTAGTGATAGAAAGCCCAAATCGGACTGTGTTGTGAAAACTGGTCCTGGTATTGATTTTCTTACCTTGAAGAGGATTCGAACTAGAGTCACCTTATCGCCTCGTAAACCAACATCATCTCTTAACCGACTTATTTGAGAAGTGTTGGCCATATAATAATCTGTAGTTGGAAAATTTCAATAAACTAGCATCCCCTCATTGACTGCTATTCTCCTTGTAGAATGGTGCCGAGTTGTTTGCCTATGGTAGTAACTGGCCATTAAGGGGAGGTAAACATACATTGTGGGAAGGCGGCACTCGAGTTACTGCCTTTATGAGTGGTAGAGGTCTCACTCAAACAGGTATTACTTATACAGGGTAAGAATAATAATACATTGTTACATTGTGTTGTCAGTCATCAGAAGTAGAATCTCAGAGGGTGTTTCTATCTCCAGCAGGGGTTTTAAATCATTTCTATCTATTACCCCTTTCAGCCTCCATGGTCGCGTGCATTACCCCCCAATAAATCCTTACTATTTCGTGATTTTCTCTTAGATTTTCCCTGCAATCATTTTCATATGTGAGAATAAGGCCTGACTAAATAGAACTAAATCATAACATTATGCTAGACTACAAAGCGCCTTAATAATTAATGTCCTAATTTAATGTTTTCCAGGATGGTCCATGCTGTTGATTATATGGCCACGTTAATAGGAGCTGCTGGCGCAGAACAAGGTTAGTTCAAAGATATACACAAGAGCATGATGCCTTGGTCAGTTCCTCCGACAGTCGATCTGGTATTGGCGTTCATGCCCTATCACCAGAATCTCACATATCAAATGTCAGTATCATTTATCTCCCTTTAACGATGTTTCAATTTTTATAAAATAGCGTTCAGGGTGGTTGAAAAAAATGTCTATTAACAGTGGGCTAGGAAGAAAGTGGTTCAATGGGGTACTAAGCAAGCTTTGAATCCCTGAACGCCGGCAGGTGTGGGGGTTGTCTACCTTTTGGCAGGTGTGAGTATTTATGACCATGCTGTATATATTTAGTATTTACAGTAAAATAGGTGGCTCTGTGGGGTAAGAAGCAAGCGTTGAACCTCCGGTGGTAGTAGGGTTTCTCATTTTTTGGACAGCCATGAATCCCTATGACCATGTAGTAAATAATATTGTATATTACAGTACAGGGAATCGATGGTATAAACCAATGGGATTCTATTAGATTGAATCAACCTTCAAAACGAACAGAGTTTATTTATAATCTAGACGAGTTCAATATACCGTCACAAGGTGTCGCTGCTATCAGGTGAGTGTGTTTGTTACTGTATCTATATCTTGTATCTTCCGTCGTCATTAGCTCACACGGTCCAGAAAAGAAGGACGTAAAACTCCATTCATTTTATTTCATTTACCTTGTAGAAGCAAAATGCAGCTACGATTGTGGAATCCGGTTTGTCAATGGTCACAAAAAGGAAAAGCAGAAATCGTGTTTACACCTCGGTCAACAATTACAGATCTGTGGGAGTCCAGAGAGAGATTTTTATTTCATTTTGATAACTATGACCCCCCCCCCCCCCCCCCTCTCATATTTGTATGGGTATGTGCAAGACAATCTTGGAACAGTGCTGCGTAAAACACCATTTTATTCCTTCTAGAGTAGGCGACATGAAGTTGTTACTCGGTTATCCAGGTCAATATGATGGATGGTATCGACCAATGAACGACACTGATGATTTTATATTTAGTATAAATATCTATAACTCTGGTGATTCCTTTATTAGATTCTATAATGTTACAGGTACGTTTTATAATCCTTTTGATTTAAAGTCCATGGTTCGCCATATTTGGAGGTTGATTTGAGTCTTGAACATGTAAATAGTCTTCAGAAGTACTATTCCTTCAGTGACCTCAAA